ATGAAGAATGGAGAGAGATGGAGAGTCGTAGGCTCAGAGCAGAGGTGGGGGTGGGGTGGCGGAAATTGACATGTACTGAGCACCTCCTATGTGCCAGGCACATTGCTAGTGCTTTACATTCGTGATCACAGCTAGCCCTTCAAAGATGCCCTCAGGGAGGGTGCCATCATTCCATTTTACATGTAGGAAACTGAGGCTCAGAGAAAGTATGGGGATTGCTGGGTACCTCAGAGAGCAAAAGTAGCAGAATGAGTTCCCTGTCTTGATGTGGTGGTAAAAGTCACTGAGTTGGCGAGACTCTCCGAGGAACCCTGACAGAGGTCATCTCCGAGAGTGGTACAATATAATAGAATAATACCCGTTACCGCTTATTGAGCATGTACTATGTGCCAAGCATTGCACATACAGTTCCATCTTGGAACAACAACCTCGGAAGGTTTTATTCCTTTTATTTTGAAGACAAAAAAGTTGAAGCTCAGAGGTTTAATCTGTTCTCCAAGGTCACAAAACCAATAATGGCAGGGGTTAGGGTTCAGCCTCAAGGCCGTTTGACTCTAAACACTGTCCTCTATAAGAGGTTTGAAAGCTGTGCCCTCAAAGGCTCTAGGGAGTCATAAGAGGGGATCCCGGTGCTTCAAATAGGGAAGCTCTGCTTTGCATGGAGTTTTGCACTGAGACTAAGTTGGGGGGGGGTATTTATATAAAGAATTGGGTTTGCATTTATGTCACGAAGGCCTTAACTGTGAGTTAGAGGGGAACAGGGGCTGAGAAAAGGTCATTGTATTTGGAAATGAGGAACTTGGTGGTGACCCGGGTACAGGCAGTCAGATCTTGCCAGTTGCTAGCAATAGAAACTAACTCTGGCTCTTTTAACCAGAGAAGGCATTTGTGAGAATGGTGTGGGCCTGTAGAGGGCATCCATTCTCCCTTCCTAATTGTACCCTTAAGTTAGCTCTCCTTGGATTCTTCTGCTTGCAACCAATAGAACTGAGGGGAAGGATAAAAGAACCCAGCTGGGAAAGGATGGTCAACATGGCTACACTGAGGTCTTCCCAGGACTCCTCTGAATGAGCTCCGCACATTTGCAGACCTTTTGTCATTCATTGCTCGAGGTTCAACATTCCAGGGAATTTGTTTGGCCACTCTTTGTCTGGTGGTAGGGTAGGCACTTTGATAGGCAGGTCCCCCCACCCCACCCTGCCCCACCTGTCCTGGGTGGAGGAAGAGTCATTCCCAAAGCAAAATCAGGGTACTGTTATCAGTTAAAGGACAAACGGATGCCAGGTAACAAAACAACAAAATAGCCAATATACTCAGAGAAAGTTTTCCGTGGAGTGAAGGAAGTTTATGTGGGTCCAAGAGTCCAAGAAAACAAGGCCCCATTGTCTGGTTAAAGACACACTGTTCCTGGGAATTTCTGAAATCTTCAAAGTTAACTTGTTTATAGAGTGGGCATGTCTACATCTGACTATAATAATATCACCTCCCATTGTAAACCTTTCCTTCTTTCCTATTTCTTTTCTTTCTTTTCTTCCCTGATAAATATTATTTTATTCTCATGAAGCCATGTCCAAAAATTTTGATGCATCATCTATGCTACCTCAGATAGATGTGTATGTGTGTGTGTGTGTGTGTGTGTGTGTGTGTGTGTGTGTGTGTGTGTAAAGCATTGAATCACTGGGGCCACATGATTAAAAGCCTTGGGCAAGTTTCTTCCTTCTGGCTGTGTTTCCTCCAAGAAGTCACTTTGCCTAACTGAATTTTAGTTTCTTCATCTGTAATACGGGAATAATAATACTTAGTTCATAAGATTGGTAAGTAAATACTAGCTACCTTTTGCTATACAACCAACCCAAAGGTCACAATTTTATATGCCCTCCAAGCCAGGAAAGTACGTAATGTGAATGGAACGAGTTAGAGTAGGGGTTGGGGCGTGTTAGACAATAAGGAATGGAAGGGGTTATGGGAAAACGGAAAGAATTACCCCTCATAAAATGAGAGCAGGTCTACTTAGCTCTCGTCAAAGTCTTCAAAGCGTGGTCCCTTGATCAGCAGTATTGGCATCACCTGGAAACCTGTTAGAATGCAAACTCTCAGGTCCCACCTGTGGAACGAACTCAAAAAGCGTCTGGAGGCTGTGCTAGGAACAAATGATAAGATTTATTCAAGGGTCTTTGGGCTTGCAAACTGGAAACATAACTAGGCAAAACCCCAGAAGTTTGCTAAAGAAGAAAGAAATGTTAAAGCATTCTTAAAGTAAAAAGTACATTCTTGAGAATAATCAGTCCTTCATTTTTAGACTGATTCAGGATGGTTATCGGTCAGACGTCAGGTGGTCTGGAAGATAAGCTACAGGAGGTCTGGTCGTGTCCAGTGATCTGGATAATGGATGTCAGGTGGTCTGGATGCATGGGTCCTTCAAGGGGTAATCAGAGGGTTATTTGGAGGTCTGCTGTACGTTCAGGCATTGACGCAGGACTGGGAAGTTCAAAAGTTTAAGTTCCCAGGCTAGTTAAAACAAGAATAGAATTGTTTCCTCATACCTCCCTCTACTTGATTTTAGTAATTTAGCAGCTTGACTATAGTGACTCCATTTTATGTCTTCTCTCTATTCCTCACTACTGAATCAAAACTTTGGGGGAAGAGATCTCGAATTCTGTGTTTTAACAAGTCCTCTAAGTGATTCTGACACTCGCTCAAATTTGAGATCCACCGCTGCCATGTAAGACTGTAGGACTGTGTTTACTTTTCCCCAGAGAAGCTAGACATTTATTTTTATGTGAAATCTCCCGCTTTTATACCTTGGCAACAAATTCAAAACTTAAAAATATACTGTGTGGGCTAACAGCGTATATGTCTTAGCCAGATTTGCAACCTCTGGTTTATGCTTTTGCCTTTTAATCCTTAAAATAATCCTACAAAAGTGATGATGATACCTCTTTTATGGGAGAAGAAATAGGTCCAGAAAGTGAAGGGTTGCTCTCAGTCACATAGCCAGGAAGTGGCCAGCCCCTGATTTGGACCTGAATATATTTGTTTCTAAAGCCTTTGTCCTTCTTACTTTTTATGTAGAAGAGAAAACATATGAATGTCCCTAGCACAAAGCCCAGCATCACAAATGCAAAACATCTTTTGCATGCCACGGGCCACTGACCCAATGAAACTTTTTCCTCCATCCTCTGCCCCAACCCATCCCCTCAGCCTCAAACTAACCCTCATTCCTGTAAAAGGTAGCCAATCAGCAGGGGAGTTCTTGAGGGCTAAGGAGGGGTGAGGCTGGGCAGTTTCCTGGCCTGAGGAGTAGGGTAGGTCCCGGAAGAAAGCTGTGGGCAGCAGTGCCCAAGGCTGAATGTCTAGCAGGCAGCTAAGGCTACAGGCTAAAACCGGCTGCTCACCCAAGTGTCCTCTGCGTGCCCTACACTGAGTTTCAGGAGCGCGCCCAGTGTTGTGCCCCCACCTGGCTCCTGCCTCACTGCTGTTGACTTCTCTGAGCTCAGAGTAAACAGTCCTGGCCTCTCCCAACAACGGCATGTCTCCAGGCCTCTGGCTGGGCATGAGGGGTTGGAGGAGGCATTCTCAGCCTCTTTTACAGGATCCATCTGTGGGGGTAGTGGCTGGAGGTGAGCGCTACTCACCTGTCATCCCAACGTTCACTGCCCCAGACCCTCTCTCTCACCTTTAGCTGCCAACGCTTCCTGGGCATTACAGAATCTCAGACTGCTGGAGCAGAAAGGATGTGTGAAGGGACTCCTTGTCTAACTCCCTGGGTAACTCTGTTTTGGCATTTGCCAACCTGGATGCGAAAGCTTGGTATATACTTATCAGTCTCCTTAGTAACAGTGGACCCCATGTATCTGTTATGTATCTGGGTTCCTGCATCAATCATGTGGACCTAGTCTCCCCCTGCCCCCCTCCCCCGCCGTGAGTACACGGCTATCTCATGGCAGGAACATTACATTCAAGGTCGTGTTGAATTCTGGTATTATCATCATCTTTGTAGATGACAAAATTGCTGCTTAGAACAGGGAAGTGATCTATTCAAGGTCCCTCAGCTGGAAAGTGCTGGAGGTGGGAGTCGAATCCAGGCCGTCACGGCAAGGCCAGTACTGGAAGGCTCTTGTGATTACTTTCTCTAAACCAAGTGTCTTGTCCTATGTGTGTCACAGAGTAGGCACCTAGAGAATATTTGGGATGCAATGGAAAAACAAAGGCCTGGGGGGATTCAAAACCTTGTCTCCATAGCTTTACATGGGCCCTTGAGGGGGGGGCGGGGCGAACCCTCAGAACATCCAGTTCATCTATCATATACAGTTGATGATAACAGTCACTATTCATACATTTGCCGGAAAGATCCATGAGACAATGAGCACAGAACCTGGCACACAGTAAGTGTTGATGGAGGGAGGGTGTGGAAAAGACAGGAAGAAAGAAACACACACCCAAAATGACTGTTCAGCTTCATGGGCCATTTCTTGGGTCAAATGGGTTCATTTATTCGTAACAGCTGCTTTTTCTCGAGCCTCTACTATGTGCTCTGTATCACCACACTATACCTCCATCATTAATCCCCAAAGAGGGATCTGGCTGATCTGGCCGAACCCCAAATCCAACCACTTAATCCGCAAGCTCTATTGCCTCTCTGGGGTCCCTGTCCTTTACCCCTCCTCCTCCGACCCCGGGCGACTGTGGGCATGACGGGGAGACCTCAGGGTCTCGGAATGGGAACCCAGGAGTCCTGGGCCTGATCCTCTGCTCCCATGGCCCTGCCCTCGGGCCCCAGGAGGGAGGAAGCGAGAGGCGAGTGGACAAGGGTCCGGCTGCAGCTGGTTGAGCTGCGCCAGCCTGGAAGCTGATTAGGTTCCTGGTTCCCACCGGGGCCAAGAGTGACACCTGATCGCAGCGGATTGTGAAATGGCAGGAGGTGGCAGCCCGCCCGCGATGCCCGCGGAGCCGGCTACCTCGCCGGCTCCGCCCCGCCCCTGCCCCACGCCCCCTGCGCGCGCGCGCGGTTAAATCCCATCCCGGCGGCGGCAGATCTCACCTGCACCCCGCCGGGCGCAGCACCATGCCTACCTGCCGTGCAGTTCTGCTCTTCGCCACCTTCCTCCTCGGCCTGCTGCTGCTCGGCTTCCCCCCGGCCACAAGTGAGTGGGGGCAGGGAGAGGTCCAGGGCCCAGAGACCCGGGCCAGGAGCGCCAGGACCGAGCCGGGCAGAGGTGTAGCCTCTCTGCGGGCTGGAGAAATGGGGATTCCTGGGGCTGAAGTAGGGAGACTAATGAAGACTAAAATTTGGGGACCCCTGGTGACTAAAGGTGGTGACCCTTGGAAGTTAGGGTGTGGAGGCGGGGAAACCACTGAAGTTTAAATTTTGGGGGAGAGGCTTTGTGCTGAAGGTGGAGACTCAGCGGCCCGAGGAGGGATCCTGTGCTTAGACATCGGTGACTCCTAGATTGTCAGCTGTGCTGGGGCGGGGAAGGGGGGGTCCCCTAAAGATAGAGGGCTCTGAGGCCAAAGGATCGGTAACTCCTGTACTCCAAGGTGTCGGGGACCCCTGGCCTGGAAGTGGGGTCCTCTGAGGCTGTAAGGAGGGACACCTAGGGCCAGAGACTGAGAATTCCTTGAAGCTTGAGAGTTGGGATCTTCGGAGCAGGAGGTGGACATCCTCTGGGACCGGCGACCCGCTCCCTCACTGACCGTGCTCTGCATCTCCTCCCAGGCACAGGAGCAGAGAAAACAGGCGTTTGCCCAGAGCTAAAGGAGGACCTGAACTGTACTCAGGAGTGCAGTTCAGATGGAGAATGCGCGGACAACCTCAAGTGCTGCCGGGCGGGCTGCGCCACCGTTTGCCACCTGCCCAATGGTAACCCATGGGCGACCAGGGCGGGGGCGGGGCGGGGCGCAGGGAGGAGGCAGCAGCGCCCTGGTTCCAGGAAGAAGGGCGCTCCCGGACCCAGGGACCATTGGCAGTGTTAGGCGGATGGAACCAGATCGGCCCGAGCTCTCCCTCGCTAGGCCCTAGGGACACAAAGGCGTCGCTGAGCCGCAGCGGGGCAGTGTGGGGGGAGGTCAGGGAGGCCCCCACCCCTAGCTGTAGTTGATTCTCTGGTGCATGACGAGTTTCCGGGCACGCGCACCAGGGGGGTTGTTCCGGGAGGTCGGGGGACCAGGTTTCCAAGTTTCCTCCTCCACCGGGTGGAGCAGCAGAGAAGCCTGGAGCTGGCGAGTGGGCTGGGTCCCAAGGCCTGCGGAACTCACCCCTCTCGGTGTCCCTCCCCTGGAGTCACCCCTACCCCTGGGGGAAGGACTTAGGGCGCCTGGCCTGGCAAGTCTCCCCGGATTCCTCTGTCCAGGCGGAAGGAGACCTTACAGATTTAGGAGAGAGAAAGGTTCTTGCCCAAGGTCACACCGCCAGCCCGGGCTCTGGCAGGAGTCATAGCCAGGGGGCTCAACTTTTGCCTGAGTGGTTTGAAGAAAGTCAGGACTCCTCCCTCCGCACTCCGCCCCCTTCCTCATCTTTGAAACAATCTCTCCCACTCTAGGGACTGAGTGAGAGAGAGAATGTGTGAGAAAGCTTGGGTGCTCCATAAAATGTACTTGCTAGTGCTCAAGTCTCTCCATTAGGCTGTGGGACTCCCATCAGAGCAGGAAGTGGCATTAGACAGCATGGCATCCAACCTCTCCTTTTCACAGGGAAAAACTGAGGGCTAGAAGTAGGGCTATGACTTTGGGGGGGGAACTGAGGTATTGTGATTACTGGTCCTTATCCAGAATATGACCCCTATGATTTTTCCCTTTGTTATTTCTCCATCAATGCCAGGAGGGGCTGGGAGGGTTTGTAATTAGAGACCCCGGACACTTATGAACAGGGAGGTGAGAGGTAAAGGAAGGACTGGCCTAACCAGGCAGCTTCTGGGTCTGGAGGCCTCTAATCTGCCCCAGAGACAGGAGAAGCAAAAGGAGAGGTGGAGATTGGGAGAGAAGGCAAGAGGCAGACAGACCGATGAAAGAGGTGGAGGGGCAAAAGAAGGAGTGTCTGCTGTTAGGTGGGGTCTTTACTGGTCCCTCATCTCAGATGGACAGGAAGAGGGCCAGGGCTAAATCGCCCCCTGGACTAGAATCCTAGTTCTGCCACCTGCTAGTTGTGTGATCCTGAGCAAGTCACTTTACCTCTCTGAGCCTCTGCTTTCTCATCTCTCACTCCAACTTTATAGGGATGACACGAGGGGCTAAAGAAAATAATACATGTGAAATGTCTTAGTAAAGAGTAGATACTCTATACACAGCGTCTAGTCGGTAAACCGCTACCGATTCCCTTTGTCCTAGGGTGCCCTGGTGTCGAGAGCCCATGTCTTTTTCAAAGGAATGGATTTCCTTGTGCCAGGAAGTCAGCCACTCCTGTCCTCTGCGGCTAATCACCCAGCTCTGTGCCTGTGTTTGACATTTGACTGGGCTTATTCCTGGGGCTTCTGGGAAGTGAGCCGAACTCCCTTCTCCCTGACAAAGAAAGTGGAGTGTGGGGTGGCTTGGGCTCAGGTCTTGGTTTTACTTTTGACCAGCAGCATGGTGTTGGGTGATGTCTTCTCTCTGTCTCATTTTCCTCATCTAGCATAGGAACAGGGTTAGAAATAGCCCCTACAGAGATCTATGATGCGAGGATTAAAGGAGATAATGGATTTACACAAAGAGCATTGTAAGCGGCACATCTCCACAGTGTTAGCTGTGTGTGTGTGTGTGTGTGCGCGCGCACGCGCGACTGTATTGGTGGAAGAATGCTGGTCTGTACTGGTCTGTACATGGGGATCCATGGTGTTCCTCCGTGGTTGTCACTGGGAGTGAGTATATGGCAGTGAATGAAGAGATTGTTGGTGTGAAACCCCTCACATGTGCACAGAACTTTACAGCTGCCAATGCAGCAGGGTGCATGGCACACAGAGTGTGAAGCCAGATTTCTGGATTTCAAACCCTGCCTCTACTCTGTATGCCCTTAGGCAAATTACTGAACCACTTGGTGCCTCAGTTTCCTCATCTGTAACATGAGGAAACGTTAACAACACTCCTCTCCCTCTTGTAGGATTATTGTGAGGGTTAGATGGGTTAATGCACATCAAGTGCTTAGACTCATGCCTGACACATAGAAGGAGCTAAGTAAATGTTACTGTTCTAATTACTCATTATTATTATTGATTAGTACAAAGTAGTTTAATTTTTCAGGGAGAAGTAATATAGACATACTGCCTCCATTGCTTGCATAACAGCCCCATGATGGGGGCAGCTCTGATCTCGTGTAACACCTGAAGACGCTGGGGCTCTGGGAGATTCCTGCCCGAGTCCACAAAGTTAGGAAAAGGCAGAGCTGAGGCTCAGGCTGAGGTCCTGTGATTCTAAAACCAGTGAAGGAGAGAGCATGAGGGAAGGGGAGGGGTTTGCAGGGCATCTTCCTAGGTTCCCTGAGATCAACTGTTTGTGCAGCCAGGGTGAGGGACTGTGGGGCGTCAGGCTGTGGATACGTGTTCGTCACCCTGCAATTTCTTCTCCCCACCTCCCCTTGCTCTTCCTTCTACCCAGAAAAACAAGGTTCCTGCCCCCAGGTGGACCGTCCCTTGACCCCGCTTGGCCTCTGCCGGGACCAGTGCCAGGTGGACAGCCAGTGTGCTGGCCAGATGAAATGCTGCCGCAATGGTTGTGGGAAAGTGTCCTGTGTCACTCCTGTCTTCTGAGGTAGGTGGGTGGGAGGAAGGAAGTGCACTGATGCCCAGATGTGATGACACCTGCGGGAGGTTGAAAAGGAAGACCTGGGCGAACACACTGCTGTTCGCTTACCTGTCCATTTATGAACTTTCACCCACTCGACAGCTATTTCTTGAGCGTCTATCACATGCCATGGTCTGTTCTAGGTGCTAGGGACACTCCATGAGTGAACAAGCCAGACAGAAATTTCCCTGATAGGGTCGATATGCTGGCGGACAATAAACAAAACAAATAAGCAAGCACATTTTGTTGAATGTTAGAGGGAGAATGAGAAAACCGAAGGGGGATAAGGAGTACTGGGGTGGGAGTGGGGTGGGCAGGGAACAGTGCTGCCTTTTTTACACGGGACAGTCAGGGAAGGCCCCACCTAGAAGGCTGCGTTTGAACAAGGACTTGACACTGACGCTGACAGAGGGAGCTGGGAGCTGTGGGGGCATCTGGGGAGAATGTTGCAGGCAGAGGAGGAAGCAGGTGCAAAGGCAGGAGCATCTTGGTTTGTTTCAGGAAAAGCCAGAGGCCGGAGCCGGAAGGGGTAAGTGAGCAGCTCGGCAGGGGCCTGATAGGTCATTGTAAAGACTTTAGTGCTGACCCAGAGATGTTGCACCCTTGGAAATGGACATGCTCCGACTTAGATTTGAAAAGGCTTGCTCTGACTGCTGTGTGGAGAATAGGCTTGGAGGCGCAGCGGTAGGAGCAGGGAGACCTGCGAGGAGGCTCCTGCAAGAGGCCAGGTGGGAGATGACGGACCAGGGGAGATAAGTGGCTGGGTTCGAGACATATGCGAAGGTAGATGGGACAACATTTGCTCATGAAATGGCTGTGAGGGAAAGAGAATATTTGTTCCTTTGTTTCTTTAACACGTACTTCAATAAGTCAGCAGCTGGCAGAAGAGCTGTGTCCTGGGAGAGGGGACAGTGGCTGGTGCGCCACTGGGGAGGTAGGAAGCTCTTTGCATGGCCAGTGGGAGGCAGAAGCGTTGATCTTTACTTTTGCCAAGAAGCTTGGCTTTTCAAGAGGAACGTGGTAGATAGAGGTCAGTTAACTTCAGTTCACTTCCTCAAATGTGTGTTGGAAGTGTGCGGGCACTTAACTCTGTGGCAGGCTGGGGCTATGTTTGGCCGCCTCTAGTGGCTCTGACACTGAAAGGAAAGGCTTGTGGAGCCTTTTTTTTCCCCATCTGTAATTCAAAATGAAACATTAAGTCCAAAGTCAGTGTCAGGGGGAAAACAAAAATAAAACCCGAAGTACGTGCTTTGTCTGCCCACTGGGAGATCCAGCCCTGTGCCACCAGCTTCATGCCAGTGCTAGGACAGGTGTGACCACTGCCCTTCCTTCCAAAGCGTGTAGCCCCGTGGCTGAAGTGGACAGATGGACAGACACTCCCAGTGCCAGTAGTCAGTGCTGCAGTGGAGGGAAGGGCTGGGTGTTGTGGGAACAGAGAGGAGAAAAACCTCACACAGGAGGGGGTAGGGGGCAGAGGGGGCAGGCTTCCTAGAGGGGTGACCCTGGGCCAGTCCTCAGGGATGAGTGACAGGTGGGCTGTCCGGTGTGATACACTGGGGAGGCTGTTTCAGGCAGAGCGAACAGAACGAGCAAGAACCTGGAAGCGCCCTTTGGTTGAAACCTCATTGTGGACCTTGTGCTGTCTTTGACAAGCTCTCAGCCAAGGGACTGGCAAGTTGCAATGGAACTCAGGGTTGCACAGAAAAGACTGAGGCCCAGAGAGAGGGGAGGACCTGCCCAAGGCCCCATGGTTGCTCTTTCAAGGCCCGCCCTCCAGCGCTTGAGAGGGAACCACGGTCCCCCTAGGGCCCAGGGCACTCCAGCCATGCCCACCATCTCTTCCCTCCATGAGTGCCAACAGCACGGCTGGGATTTGCAGTCAGGAAGACACAGGTTCGAATTTCAGCTATGACACTTAACTAGCCTTTCGCCACCTTCAGCTGCAATTATTTTACCTATAAAGTGGGATAAATTAGATCTCTTTGACCAGCGAATCCCAACTTAACCTAAGGCATGGCGGCATGGTGGGACTTCCTGGTGGGAGAGGGACTCTTAGGGAGATACGTGACGATGGGTCCTCAGGAAGGGTCGCTGGGACCATGGTATAGACAGGTGTGTCCTGAGGGTGGTCTGAAGCAGAAGATGCGAATCTAAGATCTGCAGAGAAGTACAGGTAGAGCCCCAGGGCCTCAAGAAGATGAGGTTTTGCTCTGGGAGGAGGGGAGCTTTGGTCCAGGATTGAAGCTGCAGGTACTCTTGTCGAGTATTATGGATATTGTTGATGGTATTGTGATTATCTCCCTCCAGCTCCAGCCGTCACAGCCTGAGGAATGGGGGGAGAGTGGACGTTTCTGCCTGGCACCCGCCCTGCTGCCTTCCCCTCTTTCTGGCCTCTGCCCTTCCCCCTCCTGCACTGACCACAGCTTCTTTTGCCAACTAATAAAATAACCATTTCCAGCACTGGCGGGGCCATGGCCTCCATTCTTATCATTCCGTCCCTGCCTACCCTGACTCTGCCTTGAGGTGGGGGAGAGGGCAACCTGATCATCCAGGCACCAGGACCAGGGGGGGATCAACTCTGAAACAATGAACATAAATTCAGGGCTTGTCGTGTGTGTGGTTGGTGTTCTTCTCCGAAGGTCACGAAAGAGAAAACCGAGGCTCAGAGACGTGGCGGAACGCTTCCACAGTCACTGCGAGTCATGGCTGGGGTTCTGATAATAGCAGCAGTGTGTATTGTGCCAGACGAAGGGCTGGGAGATCCGCTGGTGAGAACTCCTGGATCCGCAAAACACCCTCAGAGTAATTGATGACAGGTCTCGTGTTACAGACCCAGACGCCACCGAGTTCCTTGCTTGTGGCCACAGAGAAAGAAGGTGGCCAAGCCAGAGTCCTTTGTTGTTTTAAAGCAAACCGTTATTTGGTATAAATAATATAGTCACATAGATCAAAATTCAAAAGGTAAAGAAAAAGGATATACAATGAAAAGCATCTTTCACCCTTGATTCTCTCCCACCAACCGCAGCCACCCAAAGTCGACAGTTTCTTGTGTATTCTTTCAGAGATCTTGCTCCATTTCTCTCTCCCTCCCACTCTCTCCATCTGGCCCTGCTCTATCCCCTCTCTACTTCCCCCCACCCCCATAGTCTTCACTCTCTATCCTCTTTCTGTCTATTCTTCCTCCTCTCGATTCTCTCTATCCCTCTCTGTACCCCTCTCCATGCTCCTCTCTCTTTATCTTCTCTCTCTATCCCCTTTTCTCAATACTCTGTCTCTATTCCTCCATATACACCCCCCCCTCCATCCCTTCCTTCTACACCTATTTTTCTGTCCCCCTCTCTCCTCCCTATTTCTCCCTCTTCTTACCCCCTCCCTCTATCATTTATGGACAACTATCCAGGGATATGTAGATATAAGATTCTCATCTATCCCACCTTTTACACGAATCATAGCACACTTTACACATTGTGCTGCCTCTTGCTTTTTTCACTTAATGTATCGAAGATCATTCCATAGTAAAGCATAAAGAATTTCTTCATTCTTTCCCATGGCTGTAGAGTCTCCCATTGTTTGGATGTATAACATTTATTGAACCACACTTCTACTGAGACCATTTAGGTTGCTTTCAACCGTTTGCAGGCCTAGATTTGAACCCAAGTCACCTGACACCAGAGTCCCATGCTTGTTTCATTGCAGTGATTTCTCACTTTACTCCACGGGGTGAGGACAAGGGAGATGATGGAAGTAATGGCTGTGACACTGGCCTCCCAGGACAGCCTTTATGTCCTTCCCTGTTCCTCCACCCACTGTGAAATGTGAGAGATCAGGGCAGCTTGAGTGTGATTGTCTGGACAGAAAAGCATGGGGGCTTGGTGTTTGGACAGCCTTCACTGTCTCATCCTCTTGTGGGTGACTGCCCCCCGGCCATGAGCCAGGCAAGAACCAAGAGCTTCTCCACCCACCCCCTCGGGAGTACAAGGTGAAGGAGACTCCTGGATGGGAGTGGGGTGGTCAGTGCATAAGACTGTCCCCTAGTGATTGATGGCAGTGTAGCTTTCCTCCTAACTTACCCTTTCCTGCTTTTTATCTGTGCCCAAGCTTGGGTCTCCCCAGCCCTTCTAGGCCTAAACAAAGGCACTCAGTGATGAGCTGGATAGAGTTGTTAGGGACTAAATGTGTGGCTACCATCTCCTTTCTCCAGGTTTGCCTTCTGAAAGAGCCCTGGACAGGGCCATGTCTAACTCAGGGTTGGCAGGGGTCTGCCTTTTGTATGCACATCGTCATTCCTTCCACTAGCACCCACATGGCAAACCTTTATCACTCATGCTGCTCTTTTCGTGAGCCTATCTATGACCACAGAATCTTTGACACAGGGCTCCAGGCAGCTGCTACCAGCTACCCATTGATTGGAGCTGGCAGGCAAAATTGCTACTCCTGATTTAACTCAAGAAATATTGTGGAATATCAGAGCTGGTGGTTGAGGTTTCACTGAGTGAGAAGGCTTCACAGGGCCACCCTAAATAGAGGTCCAAGGGAGATGAAACCTCAGGCCCTCCACTGGAATCTTAAGACAGGGTGGGGCTTTCTAAATGGGGCCCTGGGGCTGGCTGAGTGTCTCAGTTGATTAAGTGCATGAGCTCTGAGCAACAGGGTCGCTGGTTCGATTCCCACATGGGCCAGTGAGCTGCCAACAGGTGGCAGGATGCCTCAGCTGGTGAGAGCATGTGCTCCTAACAACAATGTTGCTGGTTTGACTCCCGCATGGGATGGTGGCTACACGCCCCCCCCCCTCCACCCCGCAACTAAGATTGAACACGGCACCTTGACCTGAGTGGCTGAGAGCTGCTGACAGGCTGCCGGATGGCGACTGTACTTGGAGCTGTGCCCTCCACAACTAAGACTGAAGGACAACAACTTGGCTGTTCCCCTTTCCCAATTCCCCAACACTGTTCCCCTCCCCCAATTCCCCAACAAAAATCTTAATAAAAAAAATAAATAAATAAATAAATAAATAAATAATAAACGGGGCTCTGGCCAGGGGCCTCCTGGGAAAGATGAGGTGGGGAGAACCAGGGGTGGAGGCTGGAGGGATCCCAGTGATGACCAGAAAGAATCTGCCTGGGAAGGAGGGGTGGGGTCATGTGAGGGGTGGGGTCATGTGAGGAATCTGAGTGGGGGGTTAGGAGAAGCCCCTGGCCTATGACCTTTGATTAACTTTCGCAGCCAAGTGGCTGCTGTAGGTTGGGGACTCCGAGGGTCTGGCTGAGGAGGGGGAAGAATGAAGGAACTCTGGGCTGGTCCCTTCTGCCCCCTTTTCCAAGTCTCGCTGGGTTACGTGTTCTGTTGCCAGACCACAGCAATGCTCAGTTTGGGCGAGGGGGATTGCTCCAGGACCAGGGATCCCGGTAAACTGCTGGCCCCTGCTGGGACTGTCACCCTCGCAGCTTCTCCCAGAAGCTCTCAGCCCTGCCACCCCTCCAGAGCCCAGGGCTGGGTTTCTTCCTGCACTCACCTTCTCCCATCTCCAGCAGCGGACCGCTTTGCTGATGCCTCTAGCCCTGTCTCCAGTCCAGAGGGCCGTAGGGTAAAACCCCTGTGAAAACCAAGCTCTTCTGCAGGAAAGTGCAAGTGTGGAGTTGGAGGGATCATAGGAATTTATATGAGAGTGAGCTGGAACTTAAAAAAATGAAGTTTTCAAGACAGACCAGTAGACGACAATCCTGCCTGAGGAACAGCATAAGCAGAGGCATTCGCTCATTCAGTATTTATTGAGCGATGACGTAATCTGATTTACGTTTGAAAATAATCCCTATGACTGCTATGCTAAGGATAGACTCTAGGGGGCGAAGTGGAAGCAGGGAGAGCAGGTAGGCTCCTGCAACAGGGCAGAGAAGAAATGACTTCATTCCCCTTTCTTCATCTAGGGCTCTGAGCCCCCCACCCCCACCCCCCCACCCTGCAAACTTCCCGCCCTGATACTCCTGCAGCTTGGGCTGTACCAGCTCTGATGGGTCCTGTGACTGCTGCGTGGGTCCACCTGTCCTGTCTATTGATGCAGCTTTGGGAAACTAACTTGTGAAATAATCATATTGCAAACACATCAACTACTCCCCTTCCTGCCCCATCACCCTGTTTAACCAGTTGATAATTCTACCACAAGGTCGTGGCAAAAATGAGAGGGGGAGGAAAACGTGTAAACAGTGATGGCTGACAAAACCTAACTCTCCATTCAGTGCTGCAACCTGTTGGTGAGGGCCTGGTTTGTTTAACTATTAAAAGTGGTGCTTGGGGGTAGCTGCTGGGTTCCTCCTCCCCTGCCAGCTGCCAACCTGAAGCTCTGTGCCCTAATTCCCCTTTTCCACAGTCCTACAGATGGGGTGATTTCTAAGGGACAGGCTGGGAAGTGCTCCGTACCCATATTATGGGTGGGTGAGAGGTCAGCCCCTGCCAAGTGGCTTCCCGAATGCACTGCGGTGCCGCCATTCCATGACAGGGACTGTGGCTACCATGGCCTTCCTGGAAATGCCACGGGGTGTGCATTCCTAACTCTGAGCCCCCTCTACCCATGCCCAGGCCCCCACTGGGAGCAGAAGGCAATGGGAGATCATTGGCCTCCCCGCTGGTGCGACTCAGTTGCTGCCCCAGCCATGGGTGGCAAAGTCAGGGCTAAGGCGGAAAGAAGGAGGCTGGACAGGGCTAGGGTGTGTGGACGGAAAAAGGGCCACATGTTAAACCTGACAAGTTCAGGAGACTGTAAATAGCCACATAGGATGGTGTGAACATAAAAATTCCTAACTAATGTGGGCCATGGTGGGAAGTCACATCCTTGACTTGTAGCTTCCTTGACAAAGGTAAGTTTTCACTATCAGTGAGCCTCTCTGTTGTCTTTTTGCATCTAAGATATTGTAACATGCCCTTGGAATGTAAGAGTAATCCCTTTTTCCAGACCCCCCAGGGGACACAACCCACCACACCAGAGCAGGAAACTACAAAATCCCTCATTGTTATCTTGTTCCCCCAAAACTATCTCTATGTGCTGTAAAATGCTATGAACTATCCTGTACCCACCAATGTGGAAGAAGTGCGTCTCTCCATTTTACTTTTTATCCAATCCCAGAGATTTCCCTGCTTTGCTTTCTCCTACCCCCTTAATCTACAACCAATGGATTTCATGTAACCCTCCTCCTTTGATTCTAATGTATAAAGTAAATTGCAAAATGGCCCTTTTCCAGAGTATTTTCTCAATCCGTTATGACAATTGTCATCAGTTTTGCTCAAATAAACCCTTATAAGCTTTCTCTTAGGCTGGATGTTTTTTCATGGACAGGTGCCAGGGGGTGGAGAGACAGCTGCTGAGACTGCATCCTGGAGGCCTCAAGAGGTGGGACAGCTCTTGAGACAAAGCCCCAAGTCCCCAGAACACACTCCATTCTCTTATGGGTCTTCACTTACAAAACACA